TACAATCTTAATATAATTAGTAATCGTGTAGATAAATACGGAACTAAATATTCACAATATAAAAATATGAAAATCAATACAGTATCGATAAAGTATCATATAGAAAGAAAATAAAACGGAGAAAATAAAATACACTTTTAAGGACGAACCCCTTCAAATTGAAGTTTATTGAAAATAGTAACATGGTACTTATGCCAGTACTTAGTCTTACTAATAGCTTTTATTTTTACAACGTTATAAATATTAATTCATTAGGAAGGCTATTTTAGTATTAGTATACATGAATATTAATGAAATGTATTCACAATAACAGTACATAACAAAAACAACTTACAAATTACTCATTGCATAGGTATCTTGCTTGTAAGATGCAATGACGGAGATAGAAGAAACAGGTATTTAGTACATATGTCTATTATACTATCTGTGGACGGCGCAGTATCTCGAGTATATCTTATTTTTTTTACTTTCTGCTATCAACTCTAATATTTTTGCTCACTATTCTTAATGTTAAACACTATGTGATTATGATTATAGACTGATTTAAGAATTTATAAAATATGAGGCTTAATGTACAATATAGGATAATTGTAATGGTATTTAAAATACCTAATTTTGTTCTATAAAAGCAGATTAAAACAGAAGTGCAATATGTATCCTAGCTCTCCCGGCAAGTTAAAATTGATGGTACAAGGGTATGTAGGTATTATAAATAATGCCGAATCATTATTTTTTTCCCACATAAGGAGAATTAAAATTGGCTGCACGACTCTAATCATTTAGGGGTATGAAAAATAGTTTATGTCCTATTCTCAGAGTTATTGAATAGGTATATACAGAAATTTTCATAACAATCGGTCAAGCCTTTTCAGAGGAGTTTTACAAATATTGTGACACGAGAATTGTGTACATTAGACAGTACATGTAGATACATACTAATGTAAATACATGTGCTTTACATTTGACTCTCATATGGGTGCTGCATGTAGGGACTAGTCTGCTCTAAAGTTATTTGTCGTTCTTTTAAATTCAGATTCAAAATATCTTTATTCATGTAGGTATATTACAGACTCTTATGATAAGGTCGGTTCGGAATGATTTCGAGATGAGAAGAACTGACAAGAAACTCATACAAACACTTATACATGTATACAATAATATATATTCATTTTTAAATTCAAATTTGGGAGAATAGAGTGACCACCAAGATATCTGTGCAAAAGAGCTTATACATATTAAGTTAATTTTGAATAAAGATTATTTAAAGCAATAAAACAAAACAACAAGTATACTATGTACAGTCAATTTGATATGCATGTAACGATACATTGCATTGTGCTGTGATGTAAAAGATATAACGAAACTAAATTTAATTGTGGGTTTCCTTGTCATTGAAATGTTATATAATGTAACGTACGCAGTCTTAACTCATGGTGGAAAAATACTTACTGTGATTAATCACAAATACTGGTCAGGTAAGTAGTTTTATGGTTAAGATCTGTCTTTGTGATTGGTTTGTAAGCATGACATTACTAAATTTGTTTTCCAATCTATAACAGAAAGTTAAGTAAGATGTCTTAATAAGACTGTGTTGTTATGTACATTGCAAGTTGTTATCCCCTATAAAGAATAGTTTTTTAATCGATAAAGATTATCTATGAGTAAGCGGTGTCATCCTAATTTTGCTAAAATTTAAATGGGGTACTTATTTTTGTTACTCCAAGTAGCGTATTATTATTGAATTTTACTAAATTTAACTGCCTCGATGGTCTAGCGGTTTATCAGACACCGCTTTACTTCCAATGGTCGCGGATTCAATTTCTCGCACGGTACAAACATGAGTATGATTGTTTGTATCGGTCTGAGTGTTATATATATATATATGTATGAAAAAAAATCAAGTATTTACATCAGTTGTCTAGTACTCATAACACAAGCTCTGTTTACTATAAGACTCTCATCTATGAGGTTCTGTGAATTATGCTAGGGTATTACCTATACTTAATGTCACATACTATAGATATTAGAATTATTGAGTATCAAGTATAGTAATAAAAATAATACGATAAAGTAAGATTACAAAAAAGAACCAAATATTAATAATAATAAATATGCAGTGATACTGATATGATGCTGCTATATGCAACAATTTAACAGTTTGGCAGCAAAAAAGGATTCCGCAATCGTCCTTATAAGTTAGAATTCTTGAATTCCTACCAAGAGACGCCGCGCATACAAACATGCGTGGAGGTACAAATTCCCTCAACACATATTCGGATAATACATCCAGTATGGAAAGAAACCACCGTATTTAGACACTTAACTTAATTTATTACGTCTTGTTGAACGTATGATTTCTGCCTTTAAATGGCCGACTAAAATAAGCACAAATTGAACTCAATGTTGTTACTAAATTCTTTAAATAAGATTTAGAAGTCATAAATTTTAATGAACTAAGTACAATTTGTCGTGTTAATCCAAATAACATTAGCAAATTAAGTATTTGATATAGAAATAAAATGTTTTATTATGTAGCAATAAAATAGGAGCAGGCAATTCAGACAAAGTGAAAAAATCGACTATTAAATTTTATTACTATTTGATAGTTTTTAGTTACTATATTTATTTTATGACATTGTCATAGTATTAGTGTCTTTTAATATTTACAATAAATCTAAGAAAAATATAGAACAATAAAGCTGAACAAACTGAACATATACACAGAGCCAAACTAAGCAGAACTTTACCAATGACTATAATAAAAGCTTAAACACTTAAACTCCCACGGAGGGTTCAGGACCAGAAATCGAAGACAGCAGATAAAAAACTACATAATGTGTTTTCATTATCTTTATATTTGTCATATATTATTTTTATATTTAAAATAGACCACTGCGGTCTTACAAATGAATACAAATGTTAGTACCGTGCGAGGATTTTGGTTCGAAACCGCGGCTTTAGCGAAGTGAATTAGTGTTAAACGGCTGTACTAAATAAGGCCTGCATTATAGCATATTACTTTGTATATCTGAAAACATATAATTCTCAATATTACATTGGCCCTCAGGTATAAAATAATAAAATACGGGTTTTGTAAGCATAGAGAATTAATGTTGCAATGAACAATACGCAATATACGCATTACGATGGTGCCCTTTTTCTACACATAGAATAGTTTTTATTGAAATTGTCGAGTTAAATTTCATAGCTGTTAGTCTTGATTTGTTAATAGGCGCTCAATATTATACCAACGACCCGAAACAGTTATTTACTAGACGAATTATTTATGGTCATAATGATGAAATTTTTATTTTTATGAAAGAATTATAAATTTATAAACATTGACATTAACTGACTATAACTATATAATAGCTAATATGTTTACCTGTATTCATTATATATAATTTTTTAAGCGATTATGAGTTTGTAATTTAGAGTATATGTATTTATTTTTCAGATTAAACCTAACCCATCCACTTCGGTTTTGCATATGTGTATAGCGTGCGATGGAGGTCGTATTACTAATTATCTGCATACAATTTTTCCACAAAATATTCTAGTAATAATAGTGAATACTATATAAAAATCCGTTGTGTGGTTTAGAAATAGACAAAGAAGCAGGCGTCTGATAACAGCAACTTTTCAAGGAAAACCAGGTCTTCCGATATCATTTCCATCCCGAACTTCTTAACATCGATGTCATCTCTATCAAATATATTATAATTTATATTACAAAATAGTCCACAAAACAAGCTATGTTATCACACATAAGTACGGGTAGCGTTTGTTGTAATAAAAATGTCAAGCTCCATTTACTTACTATTGTGATGCGTGCGCAGATTGCTAACTCGTTCACCTTTCTTTCATCAACTATTTCACAACTTGTCTTGTAACGACACATTCCATACCTAATTGCTTGTTATTAAAATAGCAAGCAAACTTTAAAAAATATAATATTTGCAACTTCAATGTGTTTTTTTGCATTTATGTTACGCTCTAGCATTGCTAATAATCTTTTAAATTAATGATTTTAATTAATGGATTTCCACCGTACAGTACCTAATAATTCTGTGTTTTCATATGTCTACTTTAGACGAAATTGAAATAAATAGCCTAGCGGCTTACTACCATAGATTCAACCAAGAAATCGTGAGTTCAAATCGGGCTGACATATAAAAAAATCTTTGCGTGTATATTTATAATCTAACTGATTCGTTGGTGAAGTAAATACAAAACAAAAAATAGTCCGTCAGACGGCTGTAGGCTCTCCCCCTGTCACTTTGAATTAAAATATACCCATCCAAATGTGGGCACGCCAAGTGTTGTGTTCATCACATCGACAGTTGATAAGATAATGCTATTCCATTTGGAATAGGAATCGTGATGGCATCTTTGTGTGTTTTTTTTTATATGTGTACCTAGTACAACTTTTTAAAATGATTATATTTCGCAATATTAATTTTAAATGTTAATTATAAAAAAAGCTATGAAAGTTAAGGGATATTACCCAGTTCTCATTTAGAATTATTACGAAAAATGATCAAATTGTTTCTACATTGTACCTGTACTACTATAAAAAAAATCTCTTCAAGTTTTATGTGGTAAAAATATTAAGATATCTCATAATAACTGCAATAAGCTGGTATCTGTGAAAAATGTATATCACGTATACTTTTATAATTGAAAATTATATATTCCTTATTAGAATTTTAAATTAGTAAAATTATTAGGTTTTATGATTTTGTAGGTTTATGCTGTGTCGATGTTGCTAATAAATTTCCTTCATCATTAACAAGGCGCTTATTAAAATGAAGTCTCTATGTTTAGTGATTAGTATAGCTTATGCTTTTATGTCTTAAGATAACATATTTCACTACGTACTACGTATAATTTTTTTGTCTATTATAATAATCTAAGTAACAATTTTATAAATATTAGTAAGCTATAATAATATATAATAATAATAATAGTATTAAAATCATTTTATTATATTGTTACAGATATTTGCACCCAATGCTAGAGTAGTCAACAAACATTCAAGTCAACATGGGATTTTCGGCTGGATTTCAGGTAAAATAGATTTATGGACATTTTTTGGTTTATTTCATACATTAATATTTTTTGTTACAAAACTAATAATAAATTATTTTCTACGAATTCATCTTCCTTCACACTATCCGCTTCTTTTTTATTTATTTTGTACAACCCGTATTTCGCAGCAATGCGACAAGTGCCTATAAAACTTATCGTACCAAGAAATCCTACAAAAACAATAATGTACATGTTTAATAAAAACGGAATTGCCACATAATGAATTATGCTACATTAAATTGACTGAAGCAATTTGAATACCTAGACATGCTAAATATAATCATCAAGATCAACTGATAACGGGTTGGTTCCAACGAATTTGTAGCATTATATACGTTACAAAAGCAGATGTGCTAACCGTACATAAACAATGGAGACGAGTATTGCGCAATTTGCGAGCCATTTAATAGATAAGTTTTGCAGAAAAGGGGCACTTGTTTGTAATAATTCACTTAGTGTAAGTTCACATGGGAAATAAAAGAATAAAATAAAGAATTCAGTCAAGGCCGTGTGATGAAGATCTTGTCGTCGACTTGATTGAATTTGATGTAAGTCGAAATCATTTGGCGTAAAGCGGATGCTTTAATATGGAAATTAAATATTTCAAGGGGAGTTTGTATCTCGCACTCCCAACATAGTAATTATGTCATTATAAAGTATGTAGTATGTTAAATATTTTGGATACCGATGGCCGTGAGCGATTTATTTTGATGATTGAAACAAAAGATTATATCAATAGAAGTATAAACATGATGAATTAATAATTAATTGATGCCTACCTAATTTATTTATAAAGTGTGGTCGTAATTTGAAACCTAAGGGAGTTCATGAGTTTTTTAGCGTAGGTTTCAATTACGAAATAATTTTCAGGTAAAAAACAATTACGTCCTTGACCAAAATTATATTTATAGGTTCTTCTATAAAGTATTGTGCAAAATAATTAAGTAAGCAACCACACAATCAATTAAGTAACGATTTACTTAGGTACAGTACCTCCATTATTCAGAAACAATATATCTTAGCCTTCTGGAACGGCAACGAATGAGTGTTACCGCTTACCACCAGGTAGGCAGTCAACTTGTTAACAAGCAACAAGCATGTCAATTATATAAAAAAAATAAGTAAATGGAGTTACCCTCACGTATGAAATTAATAAAATCTGAGAGTCAACAAATATAATTGCGCTATTGTATTTCTTAAATTGCATATAATTTATATATTTAATACTTACAGTTGCTGGCTTGCCTGATGGTGTTCGCACCAAGCGCACACTCAATCATGGTTAAGTACGGCACGAGTGGAGGTCCCATAGTGCCGCCGACGCCGGAACCAGTGCTGCCCCCGCAGCAGCCCTATCGTGTTCCTGCGCCGGTCTGGGAAGAACGATCCAATGACTCTCCTGACCCTAATGCCCAATGGTAATGATTATTCTAATACAATATTTCGAAATTGAAAGGATTTGAATATGTAAATTGGAGTCATCTCATTAGAAAAAGAAGATTTTTTTATTAATACAGATGCAGCTAAGAATATTAAAATTATGTATTTTGTTTAATAGGAGACCGCAATTCTTCATACCCCAGCCGAGATACACACACGTGGTGTACAACTCTCAACTGCCCCCGCCCATACCTCTGAACAATGCTCAAAGATTCGTGAACTCTTACTTGCCAAGACAATCACCAGAATCTCAGCCTATACAAGTTCAACCTGTTCGAGAATACTTTTCTCCATCTCAAGTTCTCAGCTCCCAGAGTTTACCTGGTTTCGGGTTAAGATACTTCGTTCCAATTTACGCTAAAAATGCTCAAGAGGAGAAGAAAATTAAAGAGGATGCTCAGTACAATCACATAGCCAGTAATAACGTTAATGGAGAAAACAGCGACTCGCTTAGCGACATACAATGGAAATATGAGAAGGATGCTCCCAACAGAGTCACTAGGAGTACGCAAGAAGTGAGTACTTTAATAATATAATACCATAAATATAAAAGTTTGTAATGATATTTGGTTGTTTATTACTTAATGAACACATATGAATCCTATTTTAAGTATACAAATGAGGTGGAAGTGTATAAGGTTATGGGTTAGCCAAGTACTATTCATATTGCTCGTATGTTCTTTCTTCTTAAGGATAAATAAGTAAACTCACATTAGTTAACATCAAAATATAGGAATTTTATATTACCTCACGAGTCCGTAAGTATGCCCTTTTTCTCTATAACAATATTAAACACTGAACAGTGAAATAATTATTAGACATAAAAATTTAAGTATAGTTAATCCATATATATAACAATAGTTGAAATGAAATAATTAGAGGCTGTTTATTAAAAAAATATTAACATACAATTAATAAAGTAAATAGAATTCATAAATTATGTATGAGTAAACAACAATAAAATACAGTACTACAGCAAGCTAGATATTTATTAAAATCTTAACATTTACATCTTTCAATTTAAAAAGGCAAGAAATAAACTTTAGCTCAGAACCGGCAGATAAGCAGGTCATCATTTTACTGAGGATAAAATTAAGATGATAACTTAATAATCTCGGCATTTTCCATAATATATATTCCATAAAAAATATTTATTTTATTATTATTTTTTCTACATGTGACTTCTTTTCTTTCAGCGGTCGGGTATACCAGTACAATCGTGGTCGGTGTATGTACCTCGACATCATTACCAATAGTTATCTTTATGTTTATTTTTGGATGGGTAACGTTCTATTATACCTAAAAACTTTACTAATAAGTTAATAGCTACCTTGGCGGTCATAAACTATAGTAGATATTAATATTTATAAAAACGTAAAATCTTCAATAAATTGTAATTGATCGCATTCCTTTGCATGCTATTTTTAGTCAATAATAAATAGATATAGTATAGAAATACGAAAACAAATTTTGTACAAATATTTCTATTTCACAGCTTAGAAAATATGATAATAAAATTACTGTGTACTCTAACTTAAGATCTTCATAACAAAAGGGGCCTTAATGGAGAAATATGCCTTTAATTTTGTAAACAGTCAGGGATTAAACACAATCTTGTTAAAAAGTATGTTTATTGAAGAACGTTTATATAAATTATAGTTTTTAGGTATAATAAAACATAAACCAATTCATTAACATCACAATCAGTGTGTATACTTACATATGAACTACAAAAATTACAAGATAATTGTGATGTCATTAGGTAGTAGCGTAGAATAAGTTAAAAGTGCCACATGATAAATATGTTTTTAACTATAAATACGAGTAAATATATTCGACTACATGAAAATTAGACCCAAATTTACAGACTGAAATTTATATATTGTAAAAAATTCATTGTATTGTTGCATTAGAACGAAGTAAATTGTGACAATGCCCATATTTTCAATACGACAATTTTGAAATAACTACTTATTAAAAACATATAGTTCCTTTCGAATTATAAATATTTATAAAATTGATATATTTGTTATGTCATGATACGAATATAAAGACATAGCGTCCCTAATATCATATTATATAAGTATATTGTTCGTTTATTCTAAGTTCTTTTGTATATTTTTCTGTCATTAGTCAAGCAATCACTTCTAACAAAATGCACGAAAAGGACCATTAAGAAAATAGCTTTTTGAATGGTTAAAAAGAAATGAATAGCGTCATTGTATTGTTCAAACACTGTAACAAAATTTAACTATTTTTGTTAATTATATCTTTGATCTTCAAGAAAACTGTGACATGAGTAGATATGTACGTAACTTTTGCTATTAATATGTACATTTGAACAATATAAAATACTACATTTTGACAAATCCAATAAATTATATTTTAACTTTCATTATTTTCATTCATTCATTTACAATTGTACTTTTTATGTAAAAGGAAACTTACGAAATATCAGAAATTCACTAAAAGCCCAGATAACATGTAATATTATGTTATCTGTAATATTATATACTAAAAGGTAATCTTAAAAAAAATCTGTATCTGTGTAAATTCGAGTAACAAATATTAGAATGTAATAATGGTAATCAAAAAACTATGAAAAGTAATATGGAAGAACAATCGATATTATATATATTGTAGTAATTAGTAAATTTGTATACCTTTGCGTGTAGAATAATTCACTTGAATTACATTTTCTTCTTTATTAATTTTCGTTTTCTTGGATATGCATTATGTGTATATTGATTATAATATTACTATCGGATGGATAATCGTGACTAATACTAATACTTTGCATAATATTGATAAACAATATTCAAAGAGCATTAATTATAAAATAATACATGTCTTATATATAAAAATTAACAGTTAATTTAGTGTAAGAATATTTGTTGAAGATGATTGCTTGATATAATAAATATTATAAAATAATATTGATTAATAAATTTTATGTTATTTCACATAGATACAATTGTTCTCTTAAAAATCTGTAGTCGTATAATGTTGTTTATGTATTAGTCTAATGCTTGTAAATATGTAAAATAAACAAAACATATAATTGAAAAATATCTTTTATTGTCTTTCCAGAAAATGTAATTATAGGCATATTTTATGGTACCAAAGCTGACCTTAATATTGACCAAAGTATTCAACTTAAATGCTATATTTTTGTTTGAATGAAAGGCTTGACTTATTACTATTAGACAAACAATCAATACAATTTTGGAATGGATTGAAATATACTTTTGACATGCAAGCCGCTACGTAATAAAAACTATATTTTCTCTTTTACTATAATACTTAATATATAACAGTGAATGACTTGTTTTTAATTACATACAAACAAACACTGGGAATTTTCCAAATGGTAATCTCTATTCACATTTCGTTACCACTTACAATTTAAATGTATTACTTAATTTACGCCAACATACAATGAAGCCTTGCACATGTGGCATATACTCGTAATTACAACATAAGTATTGTGTTACCAGTCATATGTGAAATTTGTTGGTTAAGTATTTTTAAATTAACATTTCTATAATATAATAGTAATTATTTAACTGAATTAGACGAATATAATCTTATATATTCATCATGTACCTCAATATAATTTTTGACAATTAGATGTGATATAAAGAACATGACATAAATAAAATATATACCTAAATTAACGCAATGTCATTAATTTAGAAAATCGTATGGGTAATTACGCTCTTATCGACAGTCCAATTAACATAGATTCATACAAATTTCTCCATGAAAGTCAAAGTCTTCAATTACATGAACTCTCTAGCTATATTTCATCCAATTAAAAATATTACCCCAAGATTGAAATCATTCCATGACTGTGTTCAAGTTATTTCAGCAAGAGCCGTTGTTAGACAGTTTGTTAAGTCAAGATAAAAAGGTATTTAAATATAAGAAATAATGTAAGTTAATAATAATAACTCAGGACAATTCGTACAGAGGCATCTATCTCAAACTAAGAAGACCTTGTATTACGGGTACTGAGATGACATTTAGGAGACAAATAAAAGTAAATTATATGTCTATTAAATTGTATGTAACCTTGCATACATAGTTTCATCTGGCATTTAAACAGACAAACTTTTAAATGGCAACGTGTCAATAATTCAATACTTTCAATTAGATAGTTATTTTGATTATTTTTAAAGACAGTTCAGTATAGTTCTTAATTACCTGCACAGTAAGATTATATCTGTAGATGTATTTTTATTTAATTCTAATAGTTTAAAATAGATAAACATTATTGTAAAGATAATAGGTTTGACGAAGTAACTAACTTTCGTCTTACTGAACCATAGGTCAGTCTCACCATTTTCAGGCGAGGCAAGCAACCTGCTTTCTAAAACTGTTTCTATTGAAGGCTGTGATAAGCAACTGAAGTTACAGGATATGAAGGCATGATATCTTACTCTTCCAGTTTGGCAACGTATAATAACGTGACGTTCGAGGTTCACGTTATATAGGCGATAGTTACCATTCATAATTAGGTGAGCTGTCAGCATATTACCATTCCTGTTAGTAAAAAAATGCGTATAATATTTATTTTCCACCAAAAAAAAAAAGAAAAAAATTCCCAATTCGACTGTTGACATTTTATTTTTAGATATGCATACTTGTAAAATGCACCTTTATCGCACAAAATTATTACCTATCAGCCTAGTAGATATATATACATAAATAACATATATTTACAGGAACAAAATAATATTTAAGTGGTTGCAATAATAATTAATTGATTTAATAATAACAATATTGTAGACATATACTGCTAACAGATTGCAATGCGGAAATAAAACTTTATTGGATTCCTGTGAGCCGCTTAAAGCAAGTATTCAAGTTTAGACTTTACAACTTGCTTCAAACAATGTCGTTACAGCATTAATATGTATTTAGCTATAATTACTGTCAATTATATATAATTATGTAGGTTTTACCTTAGAGTCTATAATTATTAGAGTAGACATACTCTAAAATAGAGACCTCAAACTGGCCAACAAAATGAGACGCGCACGTAGTTGTTGCAATCATATTAAGGAGGATGGCAAGTAACGACTGACAGCCAGGGGATATATAAGTAAATACTTCAGTTATCTAGTATATTAGTACAAACATTGCTTGACTTATTACTATATGGTGTAGAGTCCTAGGTAAAAAATATGTGTATATTTATGCTCTATATTGGCTCTATACACATATCAGATTATATGTGTATGATGTATATCATATTTGACGACCTCGGTGGTCAAGCGGTCTAGCACACCGCTTTACGACCGATAGTCGCGGGTTCGATTCCTCGCACGGCACAAACATTTGTATTCATGAGTATGATTGTTTGTGTCGGTCGGTGTTTTCTATGTATAATATGTACATACATACACATTTACAAAAATAAAAAAATATCTATGTAATTGTATCAGTTATCTAGTACCCATAATAAAAGCTTTAGCTAGTTTAAATTGGGTCTAGATGGCGCTGTGTGAATTGTCCTGAGATTATTGTTATTATTATCAGATGAGATATATTAGATTCAAGTTATTTTATTTGAAGACTGGTTTATCTGGCAAACAAGTGTATCACCTTCGTTATTTTCAAGATCAGTTCTTGATTGAACATGCACTTGAAAGTAAAATGTTTTATACTATCACACAAACACAGGGTATTGTGGTTTATTTTCGCATCTTCAGATTACTGACGAAGTAAATTTACAATTTACAAAGAAGTACCTATAAGTTCGTCATGGCTTAGTAGATTAGATGGCGACGGCGATAGGCTGGGCCCCTGACATGTGGTTTTGAATATACCAAAATATGGGGATATCAGATAACCACGAAATCAATAGTTGAACAATGTCTCTGATTATGACATCTGGAATAACAGTCTCAATGGTATGTCATATTATGTTACTTTGTAGTTGGCCAAGAAAAGCAGATCACATATGTTCGTACTATTTTTATGTAACACCATCAAAATAATAAAAGGCCTTTTGTGTCGTTAATAGACAACATTAATGTCACTTATTTCTAAATCTTTTCTTATGTGCTAAAAATAACATAACAAATGTATTCAAGTTTAAGTAACCCACGCCATTTAAGCTCCACAGTAGGAAGCATTTTCTATATATATAATTAATGGCTCCATTAATAAATTTACTACAACAAAGACTAAAAATAGAAACTAGGGTAAATTTGTGGAAAAATATCGATTTGCTCATAACTTTTAGGATTATATAATATAAAGAATGTGTAACGAAATTCATTCAATGATGCAGATATTTATTGCCAAAATATGAGTCATAACAATAATACATATGCAGTTTTTAATTCACTTTCTAATACAGTTTCACATGCACAATAATCAAGACATACCCCATATTTTATAATGATGTGAAAATATGTTCTCTGTGTAGCCTTCATTGCCACAAGTTGAAATTTTTAATCTAAATATCGTAGCGTTTCATAAATAATTTATTCCTGTAGTTTTATTTACAAAAAAACTACAAGAAAATGAAAGAAATGATGAACATTTAGTTTATTTATACACCCAATGGCTTTTTGGCTTAACCTAACTTAATTTATATAAGACAAAATATGCATTGTGTCTTTAAGGTAAACTATTGTATTTTGACGATTTAGATCACGTTATTTAATTTATTGTTTACAATATGTACAAAATCCATATCATTCTGATCAACAGATACTGAAAT